GCTGCCTGCTCGCTGGAGGACTCGTCCGAGGTGCCCGTGTCCTTTTTGTGTCGGTCCTCGTACACCCTCATGGACTGGAGGGTGAGCTGTTTCCTGCAGAAGCCCACACCCAGCGTCAGCACAGATCGCCCAGCCCCGGGACTCCCCTCTCCCCGGAGGCGCAGGCCTCACCCCCGGCCACCCGTGGGCCACACTGACTCTGCCACCTGCCTGCCCCGGGGACAGCCACACAGACCCACACATTGTTCCTGACCCTCTCCCTGGGCTGAAGACGGTGGCCCAGGGGTGTCGGGTGGAAGAAGGCTTAAGGTGCATGCATTCAAGATCAGGGTTGCATTAGGGAGAGGGCACGGGTGTGGGCTGTGATTTGGTTTAAAAACAAAAAGCCGACAAACGCCCCACTGGTGGCTAAGATGGGAGGAAGTGGTTATTTCACGCTGCACTTATCTATTAATTGGAGTGAGAAAAAAACCCTATTTAGACATTAGAAATTATTTTTTAGCGCCTGCCTTCCCTCAGGGGGTAGGTTAAAAATTTGGGTTAATTTTCTGGATTTCAGAAATTCTTTGAAAGCGGGTGGGGGAGGGGAGCTCCTTTCATAGACTCTCCAGCTGTCTGCTTGATGCAAAATGATCCCTGCACCCACAAAGGAGGGAGCCCCCGGTTGCTCCAGGGGCCTCCGTGCTGTCTGATGGTATTTGCAAAAATTCCAAAGCATTTTGTGAATGGCTTAGTTCTTTCCCCGGACCTGTCCAGGAGTAACTCCAATTAATTAGGAATTAATAGCATCTGTATATAACTGATTATCCCTGTCCCTTTTCTTCCCGAGAGAACCATGGTGCGGCCTAGCTCATGTCCTTTAAGGTGACATGTAGGTGTTAGAAGAACCAGTATACAGAAACCAGCCAGCACGTGGCAGAGGGGAGTTCATGACCACCTTCCCCTCCCTCCCCTAATATGAGGGCCTGCACCCCACAGTTGAGACTTGGGACCCAGCGAAGTGATTTTTTCTAAATTATCCGAGAAAGAAATAATGGTCTCAGCTCACCTTTTCTCTCTCCTGCCATTTCCAGTGTCCCGGAATCCTTTCGCAAAGGGGTTGTTGTCTATTTTTAACTGGGTTATCTAGAGGAGGACACACAAGCAAGAAAGACACGTTGGCCTCGTGTTCTAGAATGTTCCGAGTGTTCCCCTCAACTGAGCAGTTCACTAGAGATCGGACTGCCAACAGGAGAGGTCGCTGGGGTGTGCTAGGTTGAAGAGAAAGGGAGAGGGGTTACAGGCAGATGTGTGGAGGGGCCGGAGGTAAAAATCAACAGGGGACTCTCCCCCGTGTGCCTCTCCCATAGGGGGCCAAACCAGGACTCCACGCTGAAATGGCCCCACCTGGGAGATGCCTCATTCTTTTCTCGGGGGCAGCCGACAGCCTGGGCTTAGAAATGGAAAAGTTGTCAGAATTGTCAAAAGGGACAACCTGTAGACTTGAAAGGTATGCTTTCATTTTGCGTTTTTCTTAATACCATGCAATTAATCATCAGATGTGTTGTGGCACATTTCTTAGCCCCACACACGCAACACACACAAACGCGCACACACCGTACACGCCAACCTTTTTCTGTGAATCTAATGAGATGGCTTATGGGGTTTTGCTACCCTTATGCCAGAGTGGGCTTGATTTTTTTTTTTCCTGGGTGGGGTGGGTGCTTGAGGAGTTCTAATATTGACAATCGCAGATTTAAAAGGACTGAATGACCACTGCAAACGTTTGTTTTCATTTATATGCTCCTGCCACGGCCATTAGGTAGAGAAGGCCCGTGGTCTCTTTGTCTGATCAAAATTGCTACAATTGATTATTACAGTAACAAGGTAAGAGTGCCGGGCTCTGGGGCTAGAGGGAGCGTGCGTTCTGTGGGATGAGGGGAAATGCCTCTATGTCCTCTTCCAAATCCCTTCCCTTTGGGGGGATAATAATGTGCCTGGGGGGTCCCTGGAGGAGGCAAAGGGCCCCCCCTCCCCCGCTGGATCCTTGTTCTTGGAATAAATGCTGGTGGGCTTAGACTTGCAGGGACAGGAGGCCATGATACCTTAGTCCTAAGGCTCCACACCTGAAACAGCCGGCCCCAGAGGAACCCCCTACAGTGACAGTAAATTCAAAATGCAGGGTGTTGTCCCTGGAGCGGCACTCATACTGCAGACCAGGGTTCAGAAGTTGAAGAGCAGGGGTCCTCAGCCCCCCCCCCCCCAATAACTGCCTGCTAAAAGTGTCTCTGTGCTCCGCTCCGTGCCCATGACCTTCAGGCCACCATAACTGTACAGACCAGGTGCTGCCTGCTGTTCCATTTGGGACACTCCTAATCCCCGGCCTCAGGCCCGGGGAGGGAAAAAACAACTTCCAATGAAGTGGTGACTTTGGTCACCTCCTCTCAGAAGCTTCAGACAACTCAATTAGTATGACCCTGGGATCAGAGTAAGTTTTTCCAAACACACTTACACACACACACACACACACACACACACACACGCACACGCACGCACACAGACACGACACACCATAAAAAACACAGCAGCATAGAAGGTAATAAAAACCAGACCAGCTCCTCGCGGATTTCTGGCTAAGAAAGAGAAGCGGCTCCACTGGGATTCTTCTCCCAGGATCCCCCCTGGCTTCTGCCTTAAATCTTTAGCTGGTTCCTTGGGAACCTGATTTCTTGATCCTTCTTCCTGAAGGGGAAGAGGATAAACCCCGGAGCAAACAGGAGAAAGCCCTGGGGTCAAGGGTGGGGGCAGGGCGGGGCGGGTGGCATCAGAGACTGGTCACTGGGAGCGTCTCGCGGGCAGTCAGTTTGGCATTTTTTTCCCTCCGCCCTGAATCCTAGCTGGTCAAGTGGGTTTTTTTGTTGTTGTTGTTTTCTTTTCTTTTTCTTCTGCCTCTGCAAGGTACCAGTTCCCCTTCCCCACTCCCCAAAGCTCCATGGACGGTCCGATGGCAAAAGAAAATGCAAGACCCCCACCCCAATTCTCACCCTCACCCAGAGCAGCTTCAAGGGCAGGGGCAGTCACACCTTCAAGGCCCCCAAAAAGCATCTCGTGTTACCTTGTCATTCTGGTATGCTGTCACGGCGATGAACTCGGTTTCGGGGAACAAGTACGTCCGAAATGTACTATATGGAAGTTTCAGGATGTCATTGGCTCTGACGATATGAAATCGGGGCTGGTATTTGTGCATGGAGTTGAGTATAGTCTGCAGGGGCAGGCGGGGGAGAGAGACACAGCAGAAAGGGTACTTAGCAGGACAAGCAGGATCCTCGGACCCCTGCCAGGCTGACAGCTACCCCACCGGAGGGCACCGCGCTGGCACCGAGCCCCCCTCCAGGGAGCACCTCCTTGGGCACTTGTCACTGGACAAATGTTATCTTCTGGAGACTCCAAATGGCTCGTCAGCTTCCAAAGGGTCCCCCCCACCCTCACCATCTCAGGTTCATCCGAACCGTGAACCCTAGCCTACCTGAGTACCAAAACTATAATTCCCCTGCCAGGCTGCGTGATCGCTTGGGAAGGCCAAAGTCTTAAAAGATAGAAAAAAACATGCATTTTAATTTACAAAATGATTCAGTCCTTTAAGCGTCCACTAATTGACGAGCCCAATCCACTTAGAGCCCAGAGAGGCTGAACTCCAGAGAGGAATATTTATGCCTTAATCAAATCAAGGGCTTCAAATGCAATTCCTGCCGCTGAAGAAATTTCCGCGCCCTCCTCGCCTTCCTGGGCCTAATCTTGCTGCTTATTGCTCGCTTATCACTGTTTATTTTTGTTGAAATGTTGGGGAGGGGTAGGGGCCGGGGGCAAAAGGTCCTTCGCTAGACTTTTACAAGCCCTCCACGTCTCCTGGGCGGTTCTAAGTATGCTCCCACCACATATATAAATATATACACTCCCAACACACACACACAATTTTGATTCCGGAGGTCAGTCTCATTTCTAATAAAACCTGACTTTCACCCAAGCCCAATTCTTTTCGAGTAAAAGAGAGAGAGAGAGAGAAAAAAAAAAGGTCTTTCCAAAAATGCAATCACACCCTTTCACAACCTCCTAGAAGCCTCGAACTTTCACACTCTCCCAAGAAATACTATGGCTGATTTCAAAAGAGAAGAAGGATTATCTGAAAACTTTGATGAACACATCACTTTTTTAAAACTGAGTTTCTAGCGATTGGTTTTGGACTTCCACTGTCAGGGCAGGCATTTCCCAAGCCCTACAACTGCCCCCGAACAGGAGCCCGTAGGTACCCTTCTTTTAGAAAGGCTGGGCCTTCCCTTCTCCGGAGAGAAATACGCTCTGCTGCGGATCCAACAAGTTCCCTACCTTTGGCCACAGAGAGGAAGAGAGAAGCCTGAGATTTCACATGGCCAGGGGGAAGCCCTGCCTTTGCTAGAGCAGAGAGAGAGAGAGAGAACTTTTTACTGAAAGGAGCGATGAAACTTACAAATCCATGCTTGTCCGAAATGTTGTTGGTGAGTTTCAGTTTGTGGAAAGTGACAACTTTGGACATCCACTGTTCCCCGGTAGCCGGGCTGTCCGGGTGAATATACATTCTCTTTGGCATTTCAGGGTCAGCCTTACCCGCCACCATCCACCGGGAATTGTGAAATTTATACCGACAGTCATCGGCAGCTATAATGTCCATCAACAAAATATATTTGGCTTTTTTATCCAGCCCAGAACATCTTACTTTAAATGGCGGAAACATTCGCCTGCAATAAGAGAGATGGGAAAAGAAAGAAAAACAAGTCACTTAGAATCTTGGGTTTGATTCTCTATTTACCCTAAAATATTTAAATCAAATTTAAAATGCCTGGGTGAGCTTATCTGTTTCAGAGCGGAACGGCTGGGCGCGACATAGTTCTCTTGCAACAGCAGAAGTATCAAACAGATTTTAATTTATCTTTAAATGCCTCAAGATTCAAAACAAGTGAGGGGTAGCATTCCATTTCTCTACAGGGGTCTCCTCACTTTATATATTTTCCTGTCTGTGTGACTTCCCAGGTTCTTGCCCCTGCCTTTTCCCGGTCCAGCTCTACACCGCTCAGGGTAGGGTTTTCAAAGTGCGGTCAGGTAAAGCCGGAATTTTTCACCGCTCGCCCAGGAGAAAATGTTTCACTTATCAAGGAAATGAACGTCCAGTTTATTCCGAAGCAGCCCGGCTTCAGAGCAGCAACCCCGCTGCTGGCGAAAAATGAAACTGGACTTCGGCGCGTTCTAAAGCCGAATTTTGTAGCTTGGGGTGAACTCCCAGGCCCGATAACCAGCCCGCCCGCCGGGGCGCAGCTCACCACATTCCCCCACTGCACAGGCCAGTCCCAGACGGCCAGCCTGGGCCACCAAACCGCCGCCTATTCCCCAGAAGTGCTGGGGTTCTATCCTCACGACTTAAAAGGAAGCACTTCTCGGGGAAACTGGCTTAATGTCTCCTGGGTTTGAGGATTTTTGTCCCGAACTTTGGCCTCAGGTGACTGGGATAGACAGAGAAAGCTGAAGACATCTTGAGCGGCATTTTATTTCTATTCTTCCAACTTTATGCCTTGATCGACTTCAAGGCCATAAAAAAAAATCCGTGATTTTCAGGCAAGGACCTTATGTAAAATATGGTCGAGAATATTTACACACAAAACAGAAGCATGTGTCTAGGTCTCCCCAACTGGCTCCTTGAGTCTGCAAACATGGTCTTAATGGTCCCCCAATCGCCGGCTGAACTCTCCCTTGGATTAGGGACACGTGAAGCGCGTGGACAAACAAACCCAGCTGCCCTGCGACTCCTCTCTGACCCGGCAGCCTCGGGCTCAGGCCCCCTCCAGCCCCGGAGGCCGGTCTGGTGGACAGAAAGGGCCGGAGGAGCTGGTGTCAGGCCTCTGGCTCCCACACAAAAGAAAGGGGCTTGAAGTTTTTGTCTCTGAGCACAAAATGAAGCAGACAAAAAACACAACATCAACAAAGCCAGAAGGATGTTCCAGAAAGGTTTGAACAGGGAGACTGCATGCGGTGGGGTGGGTTTCTTTCTTCCTGCAGAGGAGTCTGGGCTCTCCTTAAAACTCTATCCCGTCGGAAACCCAGGCTGCAGAGTTAGGCAGGGGACGCCAGCGCCCGCTGACACCCAGGTAAGCTGAAATCGCCTGCCACCGGGCAGGCCCGGGAGTCTGCACAGTTCCAGGGAAACCCAAGTTTTCCTGTCAGCCACACGGACTGACGAACCCACGGTTCTGGGAGAAGAGAGGGAAAGGGAGGAAAAAGCCTCCACGAGTCTGGGGAGGGGCCCTCTGCTCGCTTACCTTCCCGACTTGGTGATGACCATCTCCGTGCCCCGCTTGTGGAACTGATCCCAAAGTTCCTTGGCCTCGAGGTGCACCTTGGGGTCATCCTCCACCTCTTCTTCGGGCTCCATGGTCTTCAGAGGCCGCAGATGCGCCTGGGGCCCCAGGGACGAGAAAGGGATGCCGGTCTCGGCCGCCCCCACCAACTGATCCATGATCGGCTTGGCCAGAGCGCCGGGCAGCGAGAGCGCCGCGGCGCCGTTGGGAGGCAGAGTCAGCGCGGGGAAGAACGGCGGCTGGTGCCCCAGCACCGCGCTCATGGCGAAGTCCGGCGCCCGGTGAGGTAGGAACGGATGGTAGGCCATGCTTGTCCCAGGAATGACCGGATCTCTCATGGAGAGGTTCCTCCACTCCGGGCGGGGCGCTGGGCTTCCGCGGGCACGAGTCCGCAGCTGCTGTTTTGTTTTGATTAACAGCAGCACATAGTTTTTAAAAAATAGGCAAAAAGAAAAAAAAATCGCAACCAAAGCACCTCGAAGGGAGGGTGTTCAGTGTTTTAAGTGTCTTTTGGGGAGGAGAACGCCGCTTTTAAAGGGGGCAAGGCGAGCGATCGGGAGACATGGTCGCGGGTGACTGTCCTGGCGTCTGGCGTGTTTAGAAAGCCGCCCCTGCAAGTCGGTTTCGGAGGCGAGAGGAGCGAGCAGGCTGACGCCTCGCGGCCGAGCCCCGCTGCTCAGCTCCAAACGGACACGCAGCCCTGGGTCCCAGGGACCGCGCGCCCCAGCCCCCAGTTCTTTGTTGCAAACGCGAACGGTCCTCCTAGGAGACTTTTTACCTTTTCTTCTCCTCCTTCGTCCCCCGCCCTCCTATCTCTGTTCCTCTCCCTTCCTCGCAGGAGCGCCTGCAGTTGCGCTCGACCCGGCTTGAACCGCCGGCGAGACAGCGGAAAAAGTCTCTCTCCTTAAAAAAAAAAAAAAAGAAGAAAAAAAAATCTCTGATTTAAGCCCTCTCCTAGCAGCGCTATCAAAACTTGAACTGCACACTGGCTTCCGTCCGCCTCCTCCTCCTCCTCCTTCCTCCGCTCCGAGCCGAGCCTCCGGAGGGTGTCCGGGTTTCAATCCGAATCTGGCCGTGCTCTGCTCCCGCGCCTGCCGTCTTCCGTGTCCTAAAACGTGAGCGAATTCGCTTCCTAAATCTGCGTCCAGACGCACAGGGTAGGGAGTCTGGAGGGAGGGGGGGGCGAGGAAAAAGGAGGGAGAGAGAAAGAGAGAAAGAGAGGGACGGAGTGGGAGAGGGAGCGCGAGGAGAGGGAGGGAGCGAGCCAGCCGGCGAGAGCTCCTCGCCACCCTCCACCGCCTCTAGAATTCCCCGGGCGTCTGCTCGGCGGCTCTAGAAGGTCGGGCTCTGCTCTGGGCCGCGGGGAGCCGGGGGCCTCTTGATTGGCTCTTTGACGCTTTCGGACCAATTGTGTTGCTGCATAGGCGTGGTTTTCACAGGTCGAGTGCTGGGAGGGATAGAGCCGAGTTATAAAAAGAAGGTGTCGGAAACTGTAACGTCGCTGCGCCGCATCGGTACTACTGCCTGTCCTGTGAATATGTCAACATGATCAGAGGGAGGGCGGGCGCCACTGGGGAGCGCGCGCACCGAGTCGCCTCTAGGTGGCTTATCGAGAGATCGCCGCAGCCCAGAGCTCGCTCGCCTGTTCTTGCTCAGCCCAAGTCTGAAATGCCTCAGTCATCCAGCCGGGGATCGAGGGAGGAGGCAGGGCCAGGGAGGAAGGGGAGGGAGGAGGGAGCGAGCGAGCCGGGCCAGGAAGGCGGAGAGGACGCCGGGCGCCGGGCAGGGGCGCTCGCCTCTCGCGCGCTCGGCTCGCCTCTCCGCCGCCGCGGCTGTTTCTCTCTCCCGCTTACCCTCTTACTCACCGGCCCCAGGCGGACCAGGCGGACGGCAGAGCCTCCTGCGAGCTGCCGTTCGGCCGCTGGGCGCAACAAAAGCCGGCTGCAGCCGCAGGGAGGCGAGCGCCCAGACTCCAGGCTTGCGCGCTCTCCGGCCCCACGTGGAGCCAAGCTCCGCCCGGCCGCCGCGCCAGGGCTCCCGAGCTCGGGTGTCTCTTTGCCGGTCTCCCCGGCATCTGGGATCGAAGACTCACGGGCACTCGGATGCAGCCAGATCTCGGCACACGCGTGCCGGGGCTCCCTCCTCACCGTACGGTACCCGACCCGAACCCGGGTGCGGCGACCCAAACACCCCCGGCACATCAGTACGCGAACACGCGCCAGCACCCCGGGACCGAGCCCCCCGCAGAAAAACACGTACCCGCAAACACGTACACAGCCTGCGCCGCGGGCCCTGCCTGCGCTCACTCGGGGAGGCGACTAGGGGTTTTGTGAATTGCATTCAGCAGCCCTTTCAGATTCGGTCTTCGGTCTGGATTCGGGCTCCTCGTGTTCCACCTGAAAGCGTGTGTGAGTGCAGAGGGGAGACCGGAGATCTGGGCACCGGGAGCGCGGCGCCGGCCCAGGTTCAGGGCCTGTCGGAGGCCAGCTCGCAGCGGAGCTGGGGGCCAGGGGCGGGCGGGCGGGAGGGGGAGGTGCGCCAGCCCGTATCTTCTCCAGGCATCGCACTTATCTCCGGGTGCCTCCGTTCTTTCTCCACCCGGGACTTATCTCGCCAGTAGTCAGGGGTGAATTTGTAAAACAAACCGTGAAACGCCCCCACCCCAGAGGCCAGAGCCTGGTTCCAGTTCAGGGACGGTGGGGGCGTGCAGGGGAGGAAGGCAACCGACCTGACAACTCAAACTTGTCACCGAATTGCCAACTGTGACCAACTGTGACCGCAGGCCCCTGCCCGGGGCAGAGGATTCCCTAAACCACATTCCTCGCTTCTGGGGGTGCCCTGAGTTGCCCCCCCCCCACCCCCCTGCTTGGAGGGAAGTCTGGGGACACTTGTTTTACTCTTCCCGAGTTGAGAGCTTCCCTGAGGAAGGGAACGGAGAAAGGGCTGATTTAGGGCCTAGGGGGGTCAGAAATGTGCGTGTTTCTGAGTGGACACCACCGTCTTCTTTTCCATTTTGCCTTGCGTACCCCCTAGTCCCCCACCTCCAGACTCCCAAGTGGGAGCAAGTGGAGGGAAAACACCGTTCCTTTGTGGGCCACCCGCGCCAGGTCGCCAGGTCGGCGGCCCTTGGGGGCAGGAGCTGTTCCAGCGCCGCGTGTTTGATGCACATGGTTGAGAGCGCTTGGCGCCAGCCCGGGGAGTTCCCTCAGTCACAGAGAGAATGGAGTGGGTCTGCGGGCTCAGCCTGGCGCGCCATCTCGCCCCCTTTCTTTTCCTTTCCGTCTGTCTTTCTCTGGCGTCCTTACCGCCTCTCTCTGCCCGGCTGTTCTGAAGGCAGATCCAGAGACAAGAAAAGAGGCGGCGGGCCCAGGGTGTTCACTTGCAACGACCCCTCCGGCGTCCCCAGCGGCTAGGCCTCCCCCTGCCTGCGCTAACCACTGAGCCCTGCAGGCTTTGGGATCCCGCCCCCTCCGAATTGCTGGCCACCAGAGCCGGGGGGCAGCTTCCCTGCGCACTCAGGAGCCGCCCCAAACCCCCTGAACGGGTTTGGAGTAGGAAAAAAAGTCCTCCTGCCACCAGGCTGTGACTCTGAGTCCAGAGGCAGCGGAGGGAGACAGTCACTCGGACCTCGCAGACAGCCTGGCTCCCCTTCTGCTTCGGCCGTGGGAGGGGAGCTCACTGATTTCACTTGTAAATATCTCCACTTGCCTTCGGCCCCAACGCGGACCCAACGTCACTTCTGCCCCTCGCGC